ATCTTCGCGGGGCCTTTCTCAACTCTCGTCAAATGTCTGCGACAGGCTCAAGTACCGTACAAGTGTCGCAGGGCTCATGAGCTTGCTTTAAACAAAGGCTCCTAAGGAGCTCCACTGAGCCCTAAAGAAGCTTTCAGAGGGCCCAAACCGGCCTCTGAAAGTCCCACTGGTGTCCATGTTCTCTGAGGGCCCATACAGGGATCTTTGAGCCTTCGAACATTTCTGAGAACCTTAACTGGCCTCTGATAGTTCAGCCAACACTTTTGAGGCGACAAACTTTGCTAACTCCAAGCCGGCATCTGAGGGGTCACAGCTCACGTGTCCCTCTGAGGACGTCCGCAATATTATGTCCCTACGCAGGGTCCTTAGGGATTCGACACAGACCCCGAGGGTTCACACTGTTATCCGAGGTCTCCAGGCTCACCCTGGGCCTAGTCTCTTAGCACCCGCCGCCCACACTGGCTTCTGAGGGCCCCACTTTGGGCTCGGAAAGCCCTAAAGCACCACGTACACGTAAATATTTGAGGTGACCCACGCCGATCTCCGGGATCCTAAGCATGCTTATGAGAGTCAGCACTGACCCTGAGTGGCCTGAAATGGCCTGGAAGTCCCAAACCTATCTCTAAGAGATCCCTTGCCGCTATGCCGTGCGTAACTTTTGGTTCCGTTAAACAGTTTTTGTTCGCGTTTGCAGCGCTTCCCTTCACACGAAAAACGAGAAACTTTTGTTCACACTCGAGTGAACAAAACACTTCCTCTCACTGGAGCAAAGATGAATTACTTCCAATTCACACTTCCGACATTCACTCTCCGCCGAATGCCCAACTTAGCTACGATCGGCGGCTGGGATAAGTCCTATGCATTTCACGTAAAACCTCTGCATGCATGCGTGAATGGAGGTTTTAGCAGGGTGATCCGATTAAATGGAGCGTTTTTCACCTTTTTCTGGGTAATGATCATGAGCGTCGAGCGTCTGCACAGGGACCCTCTGCAGTGCGTCGGTAATCGCAGCCACAATATACTATAATTCTACCAGTCGTTTTTGTCATGAAATTTCAAAATTTCGAATTTTTCTGTAGAAAAATTACATGTCATAGCTAGAAGGACACCTTTGCCACCATCGGATTCCTCGCACCATTGCGCGTCAAATGATATGTAAAACGAGTGAGTAAAGACTGGGGAAAGGCAAGTTTTAACACAAAAGTTGATTTTGCCCCCCCCCCCCCCCAACCGAGAATCTCTGGCGACGCCTATGCATTCAGCCCCTAGTGACGTCATATTTCCACCACAAAACCCTCAGTGACGTCATCTGGTCGGCCGATGAATCGAGCCCCGAGGCGGGACGATGGACGGTCAATGGCAAATAGTGGAAAGCCAAGAGCGGGTCGGCCCTCGGAGCTCTGCGGTGACACTCGCACGTCGTCACTCGAATACACAGCTCTAATTCGAGGAACTGAACGCGAACATACAGTCCCTTGGATGTAGGGGACAGGGGTTCACCCGAGAAACGATGACTCAATGTGTACTGTGATTCGGGTTAGTCACGCTTAGCTCAGTACCTAAATCACGGTTAAGACGTCATCGTCCAAGCCGCCAAGGCGGCGTAGCAGGATACCGTGCATCGGAAAATTAATAATATACAGACAGTGGTTGCAGCAAACGCCCTCCTTTTTCAAGCGACTTACACACCTCGGGTGTGTGCTCCCTTTCGGGAATTCTGGTGTAAATATCAGATAGTTATAACTTATAACTCCACAAAATGTTGCGGTGTTTGATTGGAGGTGGGCTTGCTTTTTAACCTTTCTTTCAATAGCTCATAGGAAGCCTTAAAAATAAAAGATGTCACTGGCCAGTGATTTGTTTATTTCACATCCACTGAAAACAGCGTCGGAATAAGATTAGTTGCCACAGGGATGGGGGATAGACGGAGGCGGAAGGATTCATTTCCGCCATCGCCATTCGCCGCGCGGCCCGCCAACTAGAGTCAATGTGGTCGATTACTCACTTCCCGGATACGGTTCTTGGCACACATACAAACACACAAAGGGACGCCACGACCGCAAACAAGGTCCGTGGAATGGCAAACTCTGCTGGTACTTTACATGCATTTGAGTATAGCTCGCATCGCAGCAGAAAACACATGACATGGCTGCCAAAGAACACAATTATAGGTTGTGAATCATCAGTTTTCTTGGAAAACAGATGAACAAAATATTTTACGGGGTAAATGACCGTAGCTTTGGCTGTCAAAAGTGATATGAAGGAACGGAACTCTTTGAAGATAGCATTCGCTGAAACAGCTAATTATGATAAAATAACTTGAAATGCATAACATTTGAAACTAAAATATAGACGGTTAAATAGATAATCTCAGGCCAAAAAGATGTTTAAATGTCACTTCTAAAATAAGAATGGCTTAGCAGATGTCATCTAAGGGTTTGAGTTACCTAATAATGTCTGACAGGCAAAGTGAGTGTATATTGCAGTTCGACTTATATAACGCCTCGGAGCTGAGCCAGCTTCTTCGAAATGGCAACAACCTCACGCCAAATGAAATGCGATACAAAATATACCAAGCTAAGAGTTAGCGTAGAGAGGTCAACGTTAAAAGCTTGAGCGGTCTGTGAACAATTTATGCAGCAGCGTTCAGTGTGATATAAACGCGATAGATTTTCATTAGCTGTGCGTTGAACTAGATTGCGTGCGTTGATCTGGATTGCGTGTTGATTCCGTAAGAAATCAACACACAGACCACACACAGAAGATGTGGGCCAGCCCATTAACTGTTAGTTTCCCCCAACTCCTTCTCTATTTGTCATGATCAATCGGCTAGCCGAGGTGTAAACTTAGGTCAGTGACTCAGCGAAAACCAGATGAAAGCCCTACTGATGACGCTCCTGCACCGTTTCAGAGCCGTCTCCGCTCTGGGTGTCGGGTTTTCCAACGGGTTGAACGCCCCACGGACAGTAACAGGATCCCGGCATGTGCTCCCCGTGGCACCAACTGCAGGCCTCTGCAGCTGTATGAGGGCTCGGCAAACCAGAGGGAGAAATAAAACGAAGCAGATGACCGTAGTTACGTGACCCCCCGACAGGTGGGACCGGTGGCGTTCGCCCTGCCCGCCACTGCACCGGCAGTGCGTGCTCGTTTTGATTTCAATTAACCAGTTATGAAACCTGGCTTGCCGCTGGGTCTTTGATGTAGTTAAAAGCTGTACAAAGGTCGACTCAACGAGAAGGTTCATAAGTTTCGCAGTTTCAGATGATGTTTGGACTGCTGACAGCGCTGAACATGCACTTGAGGTAAGTATAACTATACACAATTTTTTGCATGTAGCAGCGAATTAAGCAGTTCAATTTAGAAAGGTTGACAACCATCATTAAGTCACCAAATTGAGTTAAAGTTCATAGCACAAAAAATTCATACTTTACACAACCGTTCTTTCGGAACGGCATCACTACTGAATAATACCTTTCTGATGGTCATATCAAGTTTCGGTGACATGCAATGCGAAAACCGGCGCGGCGGCGCGGCGCGGGGCGCCAGCTCCCGTCTCTCCCGGCCGCGCGGCGTGCAGAGCTGTTGACTCGGTCGGGGGTACCAGCTCGCGTCTCCCGGCCGCGCGGCGTGCAGAGCTGTTGACTCGGTCGGGGGCACCAAGGTCGCACAGCGGCGTGTTTGCAGAGCGTCGCTTTCCACGATAACAGCTACCGTCATTACAGCCACCCCGGCGCGAGCTGGCATCGCTGATGCCGTCTGTGATGATTGATTCGGAATATAGCAGCCGGATGCTCAAATGAATAAAGAGGTGAAAATGTCAGAAAAGCTGATTTTTTTTAAAAGCAATCATAACTAATTTCAAGGCGCCGTAAGGTATCTAAAACAACCTGCAGGAATATAATGCACTCATTGAACAGCAATCAGAAACAATATCCAGACGTTGGATCCAGCAGTTGCTTTCTGGTAAGTGGTCGTTCAGCACTGTGCACCGTGCAACACAAGCGGGACTGCACTTTGCTACACTATCAAACGGACTAGATCGATAGAGCAGATCCATACTAGGTCTCTTCACAAGCTGCAGCTCCGACAGACAATCACACGTATAGGACCATAAGCTGCTAGCTAGGGAAGATATGTGCACTGAACATTGGTGCAATGTCCACCAGTGCACGCTGACACTGTGCGGAACTCGAGCTCCATCTATCAGTCGTAGCCCAATCATGCCTCGCATGTCCGTATCGTCGAGCTTGTAAATTAAGGCCACCGAAGCCCGCTAAACGAAACCTGCTTTCACCGTGTGACATCGCTGCGTTTTCGCTAACCTTGGTCCACCCTTCTGCCCACCCAGCCGGACTGCCGCAACTTCCAGGAAGCAGAGACAGCCTGTAAGCTGCACCTCTGAATAAGATCTCCATTGCGTCCCGCGGCGCGTGTTTGTGGCACGTCTCACCGGAATCTCAAGGACAAACACGGTGTAATCGATCAGCCGATGGGCGGGAGGTGCGCCGTCTGCCGATACCACCTGTCTGGTACCCCGGGGCTGTCACAGACCACTCCCACCGCAGCGAGCGTCCCGCACCGCACTCGGGACGGAACGAGACCGACGCGTGCCATATCGACCGAGGCACATTCGTGGGGTGAGTAGAATAGTCATCAATCGTGAGCGCCTCTCTGGTCAGGTGGAAATCAAGGGCACCCTCTTTGCAGCAATGTGACCGGACCAGTCACTTACGGTTAATTGCTACGGACAAAGTGAGGAAAACGTAATTCTTGAAGTCATGTAGCCATACGGCTACGAAACCTGACACCATAGCAGTTTGGCAGGATCGCGTCGCGGGGACCGCAGTAAAGGTATCATTGTTCGCCCATTACATCAGAAGAAAGATACTAATTGTCAGCAGTTAACTCTGAGCTCCTCAAGAGACTGACGCTTTTAATTATCATTGTTGTGGACATTCCGTGAACATCAGAATGGAGAAAATTGCTGGACGAAGACCCACCTTTGCAGTGTCCCGTTGACTTATCGATGATGGCCTTTGTGGAGTTGATCTGTCCGAGTCCGTGGCACATGTTCCTCAGGTCCTCATCTGTGGTGTTGGGGCCCAGGCCGCGGATGTAGAGGTTGGTCTTGCTCAGCTCGGCGTCTTTGACGTCCTTGTGGGAGCCGTGCGAGCTGCTGCCGTGCGAGCCGGGAGAGTGGGCCGGGAGGTAGCCGTTCGAGTTCTGAAACAGACGGAACAGATAAGGATGTCAGTGGTGCGTTGGTGAGCCGGCGACGTTGGACTGGACGAGGGTGGTCCTTTCGACAGTCTCGTTCGAGAATGAGCGTGCAATGCGCGCGATGGGACCACGGGGATGTGAAGATAAGGTAAAAGTGATCAATCTGCATGTTTATCACTATCACTATGTCAAGGTTTCAGGCAAGACAAGACGTGGTGCTGAAGACCTGTTGCATCGTCTGCTGCGATCATGTGTGCTATAGGTCGTGAGTTCACAACATATTTGGCAAAACAAAACAGCATAAATACGAGCAACGAAACGCGACGCATTACGACAGCTGACCATATACCTCAAACAGCACTGACATACAGCTCACAGGGATAGTCATTGGCCAATGGCCATCGCCAGACGCCGTTTGTCATCGCACACATGACAATGACGTAACGCCACTTGAGCGGACGGCTGTCAAGTGTTGATCGCCGTACATTGGAGCATGATACGGCGCGTGTCATCGAGCTGAGGTGGCCTATCGCACACAGTCGCTCTCATACCTCCACCCCAGACGCCAAGGAGCCTGCATTAGAGCTAGTGCTATCACCGCGCCCGCACCCTGCGAGCGGCGATACCGGCCAAGTGCGGCGATAAATCGGTGTGACTTCAGGCGCGTTGCATAAGGACGACCGCGCGGCTCGCAGCGACCTCCCGATTTATGGCTCAGGAGCTGGCGTATCAGCCTCCTGCTGAGATAGAGTAGGGTCTCTGTTCGTCTCCACAGCTGAGCTTTCGAAAAGCACTGCCTCGAACATGTCAACTGTTCTTCTCAGACCCATATTCGCTAGCTGCCCTGATCAAAACCACTGTCACCTAATGCCGAACTTCCAAGCTGTTGTGACACTGAGTGCGGTTGGAAGTTAAAAGGCGAATGGGTATTCCCAGTGGAGTGACATTCCCAACCGAAAACCTCAAAGGCTCGTCGTTTCCCAAAGCAGATGACAGATGGATACTTCTATCGGCTAGCACGTAAGTTCTGTGCAGGTGCACTTTGAAACAGAAATAGCCAATTATACCGCATGAAAACAAAAATATAACCAACAGAAATAAAAAAGAAAAACGATAAACCCTGGGCCTACGCTTTACACGTAGAGAAACTCGGTATGCAGTTATGCAGCTTGCCACTTGTCAACAGTCTCGCATAATTGATCAGCACCAGCTGAGTTCATCCTCACGTGCGGCGTCCGGTCAGCGCCGATCACGGAGCATCTGCCTTTAGCTACCGCCATGAAACGGGACCGTGAGAGCCTCTGGAGGCGCCTCTGGCGGGGGACATCGGGACCGTCGGACGGCGCACTGCCGACGGCAGTAGCGGTAATCGGTGTTTAATATCGGCGCCACAGCCGGCCCCGAGGAATGCCAAGCACGGCCGCGTCCGACGCCCGAGGGCATCCCGAATCCGGGGCGCCGCCGGCCGCGCAGCAGACAGCCAGCTGTGCACCCATTTCCGACTGGCTCCCGCTGCCGGCGGCGAGCGTGGCGCATCACCGACGAACGCGGCGCACTGCGGACGATGGACGAGCAGCCGCCGTGACGGCGGGTACGATAACGAAACGATACAGCAGCGGGAATCGAGCGAAGACGCCGCCGCTGCGTTCCGGATGGCTGTTCGATGGCCGTCGCTGTCTAGACGGTGGCTTTTTATGGCGGTCGTTTCATGATGTGAACAGTACGGTACAGACCAATGTGGACCCATGCCAAAGAAATAGAACTACAGCCCAGACCTACATCAACCATCGTGAGGCAACGACTGTGGCTTGATAGACATTGCTTGCAATCACAATCTCGCAGTGAAATGCGTCAGCAGCCGTCCAGCCGTCCAGCCCGGATTCCGAGCAGGTCGCGCTGCGGTCGGTCACCGCACGGCCTCTACCTAAGCCAGCTCCATCCCGCGAAGGCCCACAGCGCACCACACCAGACGCCCCGCGAGTAAACACTGCGACGGCGGCGCCTGGCACGCGCCGGACGCCGGGGCTCCCAGAGACGGACAGATGTCCCGTAAATGGCACCGCATAAGAGACGCCAGCATTGGACACTGAGGACAGTCCAGAGGTAGCAGTGGACAGCGAACACTGGAAAATGGACAATGTGGACAGTGGACAATGTGGACACTAGACAGTGGATGCTGGACGGACAGTACCGGCAGTAGTGGACCGTGGACAATGTGGACAGTTCACTGGCGGCAGTGGATACAGTGGATCGGGTCAATCAACTGCCGACAGGTCACCAGCGAGTGCCGCATTCTTGGCGGAATTACCCAGGGTGCGCCCGACTGACGACGAGGGCCAGGGTCGTTCACCATCAGGTGCTAATGTTTTCAGTCATCTCGACGCCGTTAAACAACCACGACACTGTGCGCAGTCAAAAGGATACGACAGGGCGTAGGTTTATTAGTGAGGAAGTGAGAAAATATGGAGACACGTGAAGAAGAAAAAAACGAATGAGGGAGGCAGAGACTTTGAGACGGGCTCCACGAAAAGTTCCTCTTCGAAAACCGGCTTTTCTTGGAGGCGATTTTGCTATTATAGGTATATTAGAGCCAATATTGGTTACATTTTACCCAGTGATGGGCGAGAATCGAGAAATTAATCCAAAAGTCAGCCAATAATTGGAATCATTATCGAAGAGCGAGAAGTCCCTAGATTTTAATAATGCCGCGGACAGCAAAGAAGAGGTAAAGAAGCACAAGACAAGCAAGAGGAAGGGGAACACACGAAAGGAAAAAATGTTGAGGAAAAAGCGCAGCCGATCGGTCTGTTCAATCTGCGGTCAATGGGCTGTCGTCGCACGTGTTCCGACGTGGCTGACGCTCGCGGCACGTAATGGCACGTGTTCTGGGTCACGAGGGACAGGCAGGCGAGGGAGTCAATCTCTACGGTCCGTGCTAGTGCCGAAACTCTTCTGCAGTTATAAAAGTTGAGATATATCTCAACTATATACCTTGCTATAGCAAGGCACCTCAATATAGATAATAAGGGAGAAATTCACAAGAAACCTTAAAACGGCTGGGAATATACCCGCAATAAGAAACATCCACAGTAGGCTTCAACTATGATAAAGTTAACTTTGAAGTTTGAACTTTTGTTTGAAGTTGAATATAATGGGAGAAAAGGCTGGAGTGGATTGCAAAATTAAAACGGAGATTATTCATACATTCCCATCAAAGCAAGGAGCTGCTGATCGTCTTCTTCTCTTTTAACCGCAGACAAATATAGCTCACTTATCCTCAGGCACAGGGGCAGAGAGTTCATCCGATAATGACGTCAAAACATGACGTCAGCACACGCCCACGCTTCGGCTCTTCTTGACCGACGACTTTCGGAAATCCCCTCTAATAGAGCACCGCGGAAACCCTAGGGCGCGAGACGACCCGATGTGGTACACGCGTAGGTGACGCATTTGTTTGTTTATTTGTCGTGGATTTAGAAATATAGACACTCTTATGTCATATCACTTCATGCAGTGGCAATAAGAATGAATCCTCCTGACGTCATCAGATGACAGCCTCTTCTGTGTCATCGGATGACAGCATCTTGACGACGGCCGCAGTAAACACGCCAGCCGCCCTCGTCCCCCTCCCCCCCCCCCCCAGTAATGGACAGCGCCCGGCCGGTATTGGAGTTCCCATCGACTCCGCCCCTCGGCAGCAGTGGGTGGCGTGGGCCGCTCTAAGAGGACCCTCCGTCGGCTCGTCCATCATCCACAGAGTGACCGTGCGGCATACTGATAGACGCGGCCCGCACGCGCTCCCGTTACCATGACAACCAGACGCCGCACTCGCCCTCCCAAAGACGCCATAAATGACATAATGACATAATATCTGCCGCAGTCGGGATCGTGACTTATATCAATGACTCGGCTCGGTTCGATGTAAAAGACGTGATGAGAAGATTCCGAGGGCGGAAAAAGCGGTATGTCAGGAGAGCTTCCTCAAGTCATTTAGTAGGAGCAGCATAGAAACGGCAATCTGCCACGTTTTTGTTAAGGTTGCTTTTACAGAATTCCTATAGCAACCAACGTCATAAAAAGCGGTTAAAAAACGCCCACCCACAAATCAAATGACCGTTTTTGTGGTACCTAAATCTGTAGATAACAAAAAAAAAAAAAACGATTCGCCTCTATCGCGGGTTTTTCGCTGTCTATTTATATTTAGACGGTCGACCCATATGAAAAAGGCGGCAAATGAGAAATATGGAGGCGGGTCACGGGTGCACTTTCATATTTGACGTTTCCTTTCCCTACCCGGCCGGGAACAATGAATAAAAGCATAAAAATAATAGGCTGTTTTTTACACACAAAAAAAACATCTTAGAACTTTCAAATCATAGGCATACACTGCAGTGCCCGCTAACATGTTTGCCTACGACTCCAGTTTCCAGCCACTCCGATGATTGAGCAGTTCCCTCCGCGCCCACACGGGAGGCCGTCTCTGCCGGTGCACCTCCCCCGTCTCTCGACATCAGCCAGCCTCTCGGGTCCCATCACCCGTCACACCGGTGGGCCCAGCGGCAATCGCTTCCAACGAGCTGGCCGTTTTGTGAAGCAGCTACCGGTCTCTGCGGGCCGGCTGCACAGCCGCCGCCCCCGCCCCCGCCCGCGCCGTGCGACACAACGACCTGCAGCGACCGGCCGAGGTCGCCACGGGCGGAGGCGGGGGCGGCGGCGGCGGGTCAGGGAGGTCAGCTGGCGGCACGGCGGGCATCGATCGTCGGCACCGATAGACGAACCAGCGACGGGTAAACAGACGGTGCCCGCCGCCGCCCCCGCCGCCGCCCCCACCCGGGCGGTCACCCGCGCCCAGGACGGGGCGGGCGGCACGGTGAAAGCATGACGCGACCCTATTGGACGCCGATGACGTGAGTGCCATACAAGGTGGAGGAGCCGGCGGCGGGGGAGGGGGGGGGGGGGGTACGCGACCTCGCGACCGTGTTTTGTACGCGTCATAATGAATGGTTGCGAGCACGTAGGCAGGGACACGCTCGCCGCTGCCTGCGCGAGGCGAAACAATGTTTGGCCAGCAATTTCGGTGTAATTTTAATTCGGTAGTTTTCTGGGAAATCATTAACGCTGACGGGCTCATCAACACAAAATAGCACCCGTCGCCTGAGGCGACGCTGATCGAGTGCGCAGCAACGGCGCGCGGATCATGGATGATGTCATGTGACGTCTTATTCACGCCACTGCTAGGTTATGGGCAAACACAAACATATGTCATAGGAATGCGAACAGAGTCATTAAACTGTATGCTAAGCAGTATACAAATAGCTAGAGGAGCAGAATTATACCTACCCGCTGGCGTAGCGTAGTGTACCTATCTGTAAAAAACATCATTGTGCCTTAAAAATGTCAGGT